AAGATCGTCGAATACCAAACGTATCATAAATAAAGAATGCAATAATAATAAAGCATTGCTACAATTTAAACGCAAACAAGAGACAATCAAAATGTCAGTTTTAGTTTGAGTGTTCACATAATTGTGTTATTTACTGTGACAGTTAGAGCAAGTTACATACCTAAAATGTTTGTGTAAATAAATATCAAATTAATGATAAGGTATTTTAAAAAAGTGCATAAACACCTGATTTCATTGATAAAAGGCAACCACATACTGTGTGTATTGAACATTTTCCGAATAATTCCATTATTAATTATTTCAAAGATGACATATCAGTGTATACAGTCACTGAACACTGTTAATAGTAGTGTGTCAACTCATAAAAGTATAGTATGTTTTAGTCAGTATATTTGTAAGATTATCAGTTCAAGCTTACAAAGAAAGACGCCAGAGCAGAACAGACTGTCGAGGTAACCAAGGAATGAGAACCTTGAAAGCAAGCGCCAGGGTACAAGCAAGACACAAACAGCCTGCAGGATTGGATCAAGATCAAGGATAGTTAATGGAATTAACGTGAATGATAGAGAATAAAACAGGTATGAATGATGAACGAAAGATTTGTGGGTAGTATTTTAATAGTGTACATGTATTTTACTTAAGTTAGTAGTTCATCAGAATTATTTTAGTATTCATGTAATGACAGAGTTAGTAGTTCAAAAGTTTTTTTTTTTTAAATTCTCTCTCCCCAGGAACAGCACGGAAGAATGAAATCATTAAGCTGTAGTAATATATAATATAGGGAAAATTTTTTTGTCCAACAGAATGACTTAGATTTAAAAAAAAATTCAATTTGAAATGTTTTAGCATAGGTGTACAGCACAGGAACATGGTAAATTTGTCCACGACACCGAAGATTATAAACTGCTATAATTATACGGATGCTGACTAGATAGACTGATGGTAAAGAAAGAGTGCACACATCAAAGCACAAGCATAGTAGAGGAGTTGAACTCATCTGTGTCCATCTAAGAGAGAAAAGTGCTTGGGACTCCTTGGAGTTAACTACTCTGTTAAAGGTGACGTAGAGACTCGTGGGAAACCCTAAACTCTATTAAAAAACATCCCAATAGTCATTGTTTCATCTGAGATCCCTTGGGGTTAACTACCCTGTTAAAGGTGATATAGGCTTGGGGGAAACTCTAAGATCTATGAATACATCTCAACTTTCATTGTTTTCATGTTGGATTCCTTGGGGTTGGGTAATTACCCTGTGAAAGGTAAATTAGACTATGTCTATGAAAATATATCTCAACATGCATTTTTTTCTGTGGTAGATTCCTTGGGGTTGGGTAATTACCCTGTAAAAAGTGTTATAGAGGCTTTTGGGAAACCGGAAGCACTATGATAAATATATCTCACCACTATCATATCGGCTAAGAGTCCTTGGGGTTGAATACCCTGTAAAAGGTGATGTAAAAATATTGGTTTAATTCAATTTTCTATGTAGTAAATATCTCAAAGCTGACCATTATCATCACCATCATCACAATGATCATTATTTCACTTGAACCTCATAGAATAGATATAGTGACGAAGCTATACTACAGATGCAATAGGTGCAAAGATGAGATACCCCTCACCAGATCAGTACTTCAAAAAGCATACAGTAAAAAAGTTAAAACCAAGGGCAGTAACTGAGGATAATTAGGAACGGTAATCCCTAGTAGTGCAGTTAGATTTATTGTCCATTGATTCATTTATCAGTAAAAGGGAAAATGATACTTGATGTTCCATAAAGTATCATTTTGTTAAGAAGGGGGAGGGAGTATGTGATGAGGTGCTTTGCATGGTCTCCACGATTACATGGTGACAAGCAGAAAGTCCGTGCAAGGGACAAGGGACAAGGGACAGCACGGGACATTTGTGGCCAGTCGAGTAAGCGAGGGAAAGTCCGAGCTAGCATCGTGGTCAGTTGATCAACAGAAGTCGTGAAAGGCGGTTACAGTTTTTTGAAGATGTAGTCTTTCTGTCGCGAGAATGACTAATATTTGAATATGTCGTGAGCGATAGAAGTGTAGATAATTGTGGAAGCTGTGGAATCATGTACAAAGGAGCCGACTGGCGTTTGTGTTTTCAACGTTAGACGTTAAAGCCGAGTGTCTTATCATTTCAAGGTTCATTTCAGGATAGTTGAAAGCGTAGCTTAAAGTAAAGCCAAGGTTAATTCCAAGCCACTTTGCATTTGATCACTATTTCTTTTTGCATTCTAGAGTATTCTTCTTTATCATTCTTTTTCTTCTTTCTTTCATCCATCAACTGCAGAATTTCGGTTGACATCCATTTCTTTTTTGCAACTCTTTGGGTTGGTGGGATTGTCTCTTTTGATGTCTGCTGAACTGACTCACGCAACATATCCCACTGTTTTTTTCTTTGGATCCAAAATAATACCGACTCCCTTACTATATTCCTTACCACCCGAGTAAATAATTATGTGCTGATCTGAATACTTTTTCCCTGCTCCTGGCCATCGCATTTCACTAATTTCTAATATGTTGATGTTCATTCTCTTCATTTCCATCTTGATGTTATCCAGCTTTCTGTTTTGTACGAGTGTTTTGACATTCCATGTACCAATGTTCATGATGTTTCTACCATTTACTTTTTCTACAGTAGGTGGATGACGGTCGGGTATCACCCGTAGAACATGATGCTCCCTACCGGACGAGGTGATTCCACCGGAATCTCCATTCACGTCGTTATCTGAATTTGTTTTATTTTGAGGCATGATTTTCTTGGGATAGTACAGCGGTGGTTTCCCTTTGCCTTCCGCTGGTTTGTATATGGTTTGACTCCAATAGCCTTTGTCTAAAGAGACTTACCTTGCAAGACAGCAGAGGGGAGAGGTTATGGCGCCTCTTACCCGCCGATGGCCATGCCGTAGAGTTTTAGTTTTGATAATGTTACTAATTTCAACCACCGTAATAAGCGGATTATCTTTAATGCCTGTACCGGCATATGTTGCAACGATCATATACATTGTAGTCTGACGGGTGGAATTGTCTTGCGTGCAGATTTTTTTGCTTGAGGTATCTGTCAAGGAGTGCTCTTCCTTTCTCTTCATCAGATCTGTTCCATGTCTGGTCTCCATTACAGAAGTCTCTGTAGCCTCGGCGTCTGGGAGCACCTGTCATAGCCTTGTATATGGACCAGAATTTTGCAGGAGATCTTTCCTTGCACACCATGGCAAAATATTTCTCAAGTTGTGTCCTTGGCTTGCTGGGCAACTACTTTGAAGGCTGTTGTTGTGGTCTGCATGGTGTGTTTACATTCCCGCAGTAGGTCTGAAGTATAGTCAGCGTATTTCATTGCTTTCTGCCAGATCTTTACAGCATGTCTTTTAAGTACCCACGCTGACTCAACCTTATCATTCCACGACAATAGTTGTTGCAGTTTTTTTTTTTTTTTTTCGGCCTACACCGTGTTGGCTTTTGATTTTCCTAAGCTCGCTTACGACATCATTTTCCGATGTGTATTTAAAAGGGTTTGAATTGGTCCAATGAGATGTGCTGACACCCTTTTTAGGAGAATAACACAGGGACAGTGGTCGCTGCCATGATTACCTAGTACATACCAACTACAGTGTTATTGTAGTTCTAGTGCAGCTGAAACTAAAGCCAAGTAAAGGACTGTCTTCTTCTTGTTGATAGGCCATCCTGGTGATTCTTCCATCGCTTAGACAGACTAGATCCATTTCCACTATGGCATCCTCCGAATACTCCCCTTGTCTGTTTGTTGAACTATTGCCCCATAGGTAACTTTTAGCGTTGAAATCGCCACAGAAAACTATATTCTCTTCTGTTTGCATTACTTCTTGAAGGCACATCCACTTTTCTCTGCTTACTTTACAGTTACATGCGTAGACATTAACCAGCATGATAGACCGCGTCCCACGTATTGTAACAGCTTGTAACAGGAGGATGGTATCTTGCCATTTAGACACGTCAACTTCATGAGCTTCGAGATTATCTCTGACTAGACTAAACTGTCCCCGGTGTAGCTTGTTCTGAAACGTATGAAATCCTGTAAGTTTCAGTGTATTGTCACCTAGGAGTGTTCCTTTCCGATTTCAGTAGTGATTTTCTGGTCCCATCACGTTTTACTTTCTGATTATTTTTGGGGCTCGATTGGTTTTTTCTGCGCTTCCTCCTTTCAATGTGTACATCACTATTATTAATATGTGGAGAATTTGAAGAAGATGTCAGCTCAAACGCACGTACTTCGTCGGGTAAGCTGAAAACCTGGACCGACATTTTCACATGCGGCTGGTTGCAGAGGTCGTCAATGTTGGCCATGACGTCGATCGGCAGCATACACATCGAACACACACTAAAATAAAATAAAAAAAGAGCGCATAATCGCAATACAGGCGTGAAGAAATATATTGCACTGTAAAACATTTCGATATTTCAGTATGGTTTAAGTGAAATGCGCCGGATAAAAAGCGAAATCATGGCTCATAAGATGTCGCCATGTTGGAAAACAGAAGTCCAGATCCATGATATCAGTCAGTGTATACATAACAGGATGGTATTAACTACAAATGATAGGGTTGTCAGCATAGTGATGTCAGGATACGGTTGTCTACATAGAGATGTCAGTATAGGGTTTACATGAGGTTGTTAGGGTAGGGTTGTCAGCATAGAGATGTTGAGTAAAGCACTGTGTCTCACAGTGTCAGTTTTGGCAGGTCCCCCCCCCCCCCCCCATAATTCACAAGTCACGTTGTCTTTTGTCACACGATACTTTGCCCAAAATAAGTTCTAGAATCTTGATCATGTTGTCTGATGATCTGTGTTTAAAACAACAACAACAACAAAACCTTTCCATCTATCTGTCAAATAATTGTTATGTCAGCTATGTGCAGTTATTGCGATTCAGCTCATAAAATTATAGATATGTAAGCTTTGTAAAATAATGGACATGTCAGCTCTGTAAAATATATTTTTCTATTACAACAGCAATCAGTGCTTGCTGGTTTATACAGTTCCGAGGGTTCTGTCATGGAGGTAAGTACCCCAGTGCCAGTATACTAGTAGCCCGTATGTTCTACCAGTACCTCTCTGTGTTCTACAAGTACCCCTGTATTCTACCGCTATCCCTGTGTATTCTACCAGTACCCATGTATTCTACCAGTACCCCTGTGTATTCTACCAGTACCCCTGTGTATTCTACCAGTACCCCTGTGTATTCTACCAGTACCCCTGTGTATTCTACCAGTACCCCTGTGTATTCTACCAGTACCCCTGTATTCTACCAGTAGCCCTGTGTATTCTACCAGTACCCCTGTATTCTACCAGTACCCCTGTGTATTCTACCAGTACCCCTGTGTATTCTACTAGTAGCCCTGCGTATTCTACCAGTAAATCTGTACATTCTACAAGTACTTATGTGCGTTTTACTAGTACCCTGTGTATAATACCAGTAACCATGCGTGTTCTATTAGCACCCCTGTGCATTCTACTAGTTACCCTGTTTATTCTACAAATACCCCTGTATTCTATCAGTACTCTCATTTTATACCAGTACCCCTGTGTTTTCTACCAATACCCCTTTGTTTTGCTGGTACCCCTGTGTATTTTACCACTACCCTTGTAATCTTTCAGTACCTATGTGTATTCTGCTAGTACTCCTATATTCTACCACTATCCTGTATTCTAGCGGTACAAATTTGTGTTCTAACAATAACTATTTCTATTCTACGTGTACCTCTGTGCATTCTACCAGTACTCATGTGTCTTCTACCAGTACCGCTGTGTATTATACCAGTACCCATGTGTGTTCTGCCAGCACCAATGTGTATTCTTTCAGTACTCCTAAATTCTTTCTTTACCCATGTTTGCTCTAACAGTACTTATGTCTGCTCTATGAGTACGCCTGTGTATTCTCCCATTACCCCTGTGTATTCTACCAGTACCCCTGTATGTTCTACCAGTACCCCTGTATTCTACCAGAACACCTGTATGTTCTACCAGTATCCCTGTGTATTTTACCAGAACCCTATTTTTGTTTCAATCAGTACCCCTTTTAAGTTCTACCAGTACCCCTGTGTATTTTACCAGAACCCTATTTTTGTTTCAATCAGTACCCCTTTTAAGTTCTACCAGTACCCCTGTGTATTTTACCAGAACCCTATTTTTGTTTCAATCAGTACCCCTTTTAAGTTCTACCAGTATCCCTGTATTCTACTGATTCTAACGATGTAGTAAACGCAGTAGTAGTAATATGCATCAAACTTTCTGTCACTGGTACTTGCCAATAGTCTTTTGTCACTGGTACTTGCCAATAGTCTTTTGTCACTGGTACTTGCCAATAGTCTTCTGTCACTGGTGCTTGCCAATAGTCTTTTGTCACTGGTACTTGCCAATAGTCTTTTGTCACTGGTACTTGCCAATAGTCTTTTGTCACTGGTACTTGCCAATAGTCTTTTGTCACTGGTGCTTGCCAATAGTCTGTTGTCACTGGTGCTTGCCAATAGTCTTTTGTCACTGGTACTTGCCAATAGTCTTCTGTCACTGGTACTTGCCAATAGTCTTTTGTCACTGGTACTTGCCAATAGTCTTCTATCACTGGTACTTGCCAATAGTCTTTTGTTACTGGTACTTGCCAATAGTCTTTTGTCACTGGTACTTGCCAATAGTCTTTTGTCACTGGTGCTTGCCAATAGTCTTTTGTCACTGGTACTTGCCAATAGTCTTTTGTCACTGGTACTTGCCAATAGTCTTTTGTCACTGGTACTTGCCAATAGTCTTTTGTTACTGGTACTTGCCAATAGTCTTCTGTCACTGGTACTTGCCAATAGTCTTTGTCACTGGTACTTGCCAATAGTCTTCTGTCAATGGTACTTGCCAATAGTCTTTTGTCACTGGTACTTGCCAATAGTCTTTTGTCACTGGTACTTGCCAATAGTCTTCTGTCACTGGTACTTGCCAATAGTCTTTTGTCACTGGTACTTGCCAATAGTCTTCTGTCACTGGTGCTTGCCAATAGTCTTTTGTCACTGGTGCTTGCCAATAGTCTTTTGTCACTGGTACTTGCCAATAGTCTTCTGTCACTGGTACTTGCCAATAGTCTTTTGTCACTGGTACTTGTCAATAGTCTTCTGTCACTGGTACTTGCCAATAGTCTTTTGTCACTGGTACTTGTCAATAGTCTTTTGTCACTATTGCTTGCCAATAGTCTTTTGTCACTGGTACTTGCCAATAGTTTTCTGTCACTGGTACTTGCCAATAGTCTTTTGTCACTGGTGCTTGCCAATAGTCTTTTGTCACTGGTACTTGCCAATAGTTTTCTGTCACTGGTACTTGCCAATAGTCTTTTGTCACTGGTACTTGCCAATAGTCTTTTGTCATTAGTACTTGCCAATAGTCTTTTGTCAAATCAAGTTTTGAAGAAGAAAAAAAAAAAGGGGGGGGGGGTGGGGTCCCGGATGTATAGTAATTCATCAGCATTACGTGTGGGCTCTGCCTCCAAGTTAGTGCCTGCAATGATGTCTGGCTGTTCTAAGGTCCTAACTTTTTTTCAATAGGTTTCTCCCAGGTATGGTTCCGATACTGGATACGCTTGTATTTTTATGGGTTTGTTTGTATTCATTTGAATATGATGTTTAATTTCAGTTCACTTACCTGGTATATCTGAGAAAATATTTGAAAACTCGTTCAATAATTCACTAATATAAGATTTCTATCTGGGTGACATGTTTTCAGAAACTTCTATTTGTTTCCTTGAATTTTGGGAAGTAGTCGTAGGAGATAAGATTTTTTTCTCCGTAGAATCTTACTTAGGTTCATCAACTAAACTGCGTGTCATGTCTACTGGGGTAGAGGTAGATGTTTCTGTTGTACCTTGAAGTACTGTGACACGATTTTATAGGATTTCAACATAACAATATGGCAGCTTTAAAATATACTTTTTTGCAGAATTTGGTAGTCAACATTAGAAATTTGGTTGATAACTTTAAAAAGACCTTGCCATGATACAGACAATCCGTCAGCTGGAAAGAAGGAGTAAGACTTCCTCAATCTCTGCAAGTTCTTGCGATTTGGATACTAGCTTGATTATTATTGCTTTTGTGTGAATGACCAATATTTCACTGTGGGGATTTCTGTGAATGACACACACTTCATTGTGATGATTTCTGTAATTGATGCCTGATTGTGCTAATTTGTTTAATTTATATTAGTCTGATACAACTTATGTAAATATTCTCTGAACGTGTATTGTTGTGTGAAATGTGTAATTGAAATTATCCAGAAAGTGATCATGATTTTGTCCCCAACAGCGGCATCACCTGGCACAGAGCATGTGCATCCTCAACACAGATGGCAGTAACTTGTTTGAGAATCTTTCTAGCAAGGTAATCTGTTTGTATCACATATTCCTTCGATGTTATGTCACAAAAGGAATTGATTGGTTACTCATTTCTCTACTGACACAGTCTGTCTCTGATACACAACCTGTCTGTGATACATAACCTGTCAGTGATATATAACCTGTCTGTGATACATAACCTGTCAGTGATACATAACCTGTCTGTGATACAAAACCTGTCAGTGATATATAACCTTTCAGTGATATATAACCTGTCTGTGATATATAACCTGTCTGTGATACATAACATGTCTGTGATATATAACCTGTCTGTGATACATAACCTGTCTGTGATACATAACCTGTCTGTGATATATAACCTGTCTGTGATATATAACCTGTCTGTGATAAATAACCTGTCAGTGATACATAACCTGTCTGTGATATATAACCTGTCTGTGATATATAACCTGTCAGTGATACATAACCTGTCGGTGATATAACCTGTCTGTGATACATAACCTGTCTTTAATTCATAACCTGTCTGTGATATATAACCTGTCTGTGATACATAACCTGTCTGTGATATATAACCTGTCTGTGATATATAACCTGTCAGTGATATATAACCTGTCTGTGATACAAAACCTGTCTGTGATACATAACCTGTCTGTGATACATAAGCTGTCTGTGATACATAACCTGTCTGTGATATATAACCTGTCCGTGATACATAACCTGTCTGTAATACATAACCTGTCTGTGATATATAACCTGTCTGTGATACATAACCTGTCAGTGATACATAACCTGTCTGTGATACATAACCTGTCAGTGATATATAACCTTTCAGTGATATATAACCTGTCTGTGATATATAACCTGTCTGTGATACATAACCTGTCTGTGATATATAACCTGTCTGCGATACATAACCTGTCTGTGATACATAACCTGTCTGTGATATATAACCTGTCTGTGATATATAATCTGTCTGTGATACATAACCTGTCAGTGATACATAACCTGTCTGTGATATATAACCTGTCTGTGATATATTACCTGTCAGTGATACATAACCTGTCGGTGATATATAACCTGTCTGTGATACATAACCTGTCTGTAATACATAACCTGTCTGTGATATATAACCTGTCTGTGATACATAACCTGTCTGTGATATATAACCTGTCTGTGACATATAACCTGTCAGTGATATATAACCTGTCTGTGATACAAAACCTGTCTGTGATACATAACCTGTCTGTGATACATAACCTGTCTGTGATATATAACCTGTCTGTGATATAAAACCTGTCTGTGATATATAACCTGTCTGTGATATATAACCTGTCTGTAATACATAACCTGTCTGTGATATATAACCTGTCTGTGATACATAACCTGTCAGTGATATATAACCTGTCTGTGATACATAACCTGTCTGTGATATATAACCTGTCTGTAATACATAACCTGTCAGTGATATATAACCTGTCTGTAATACATAACCTGTCAGTGATACATAACCTGTCTGTGATACATAACCTGTCTGTGATATATAACCTGTCTGTGATATTTAACCTGTCTGTGATACATAACCTGTCAGTGATATATAACCTGTCTGTGATATATTACCTTTCAGTGATACATAACCTGTCGTTGATATATAACCTGTCTGTGATATATAACCTGTCTGTGATACATAACCTGTCTGTAATACATAACCTGTCAGTGATATATAACCTGTCTGTGATACATAACCTGTCTGTGATATATAACCTGTCTGTGATATATAACCTGTCTGTGATACATAACCTGTCAGTGATATATAACCTGTCAGTGATATATAACCTGTCTGCAATACATAACCTGTCTGTGATACATAACCTGTCTGTTATACATAACCTGTCTGTGATATATAACCTGTCTGTGATACATAACCTGTCAGTGATATATAACCTGTCAGTGATATATAACCTGTATGCAATACATAACCTGTCTGTAATACATAACCTGTCAGTGATATATAACCTGTCAGTGATATATAACATGTCTGTGATACATAACCTGTCTGTAATACATAAACTGTCAGTGATACATAACCTGTCTGTTATATATAGCCTGTCTGTGATATATAACCTGTCTGTGATACATAATCTGTCAGTGATATATAACCTGTCAGTGATATATAACCTGTCTGTAATACATAACCTATCAGTGATATATAACCTGTCTGTAATACATAACCTGTGAGTGATACATAACCTGTCTGTGATACATAACCTGTCTGTGATATATAACCTGTCTGTGATATATAACCTGTCTGTGATACATAATCTGTCTGTAATACATAACCTGTCAGTGATATATAACCTGTCTGTGATACATAACCTGTCTGTGATACATAACCTGTCTGTGATATATAACCTGTCTGTGATACATAACCTGTCTGTGATACATAACCTGTCTGTGATATATAACCTGTCTGTGATACATAACCTGTCAGTGATACATAACCTGTCTGTGATATATAACCTGTCTGTGATATATAACCTGTCTGTGATACATAACCTGTCAGTGATACACAACTGTCTGTGACACACAACCTGTCTGCGATATACAACTGTCTGTGATATATAACCTGTCTGTGATACATAACCTGTCTGTGATACATAAGCTGTCTGTGATACATAACCTGTCTGTGATATATAATCTGTCTGTGATGCATAACCTGTCTGTGATGCATAACCTGTCTGTGATATATAACATGTCTGTGATACATAAGCTGTCTGTGATACATAACCTGTCTGTGATACATAACCTGTCTGTGATACATAACCTGTCTGTGATACATAATCTGTCGGTGATGCATAACCTGTCTGTGATACACAACTGTCTGTGACACACACTCTGTCTGCGATATACAATCTATCGATAATACACACAACATGTCTGTGACACACAACCAGTCGGTGACCTACAAACTGTCTCTTTACACAACATGTCGTGACCTACCACATGTCTGTGACACCCTACCTGTCTTTGACACACAACCTGTCCGTGCCACACAACCTGTCTGTGACACACAACCTGTCTGCGATATACAACTGTCTGTTATACACAATCTATCGATAATACACACAACATATCTGTGACACACAACCTGTCTGTGACACACAACCAGTTGGTGACCTACAAACTGTCTCTTTACACAACATGTCAGTGACCTACCACATGTCTGTGACACCCTACCTGTCTTTGACACACAACCTGTCCGTGCCACACAACCTGTCTGTGCCACACAACCTGTCTGTGACGTGTAAACTGTCTGTGTTACACAATCTGTTGTTAGCACACAACCTGTCTGTGTAAAACAAGCTGTTTGTAATTCCTAACCTGTGTGTGTCACACAACCTGTCTGTGTAAAACAACCTGTTTGTTACTCCTAACCTGTGTGTGTCACACAACCTGTCTGTGACACTCAACCTGTCTGTGTCACATAGCCTGTCTATGTCGGACACCCTGTCTGTGACACAACCTGTTATTGACCCACAACCTATCTGTTTATCATCATCATTTTTTGACATCTTCTAGCCGCTCACGACCCTGACATTCACCCCTTCCCTTTTACTGACACTCCCTGATAAAAGTCAAGTCTACTATCGTTATTGTCTGCAGTCAAATATCATACAATTAGGTGTAAGATGTCGCTAAAGCTGCCTCGGTGTGCAATGAGATTATATACACAATCAACAATTATCTGAAAAGGCACCCATATTTAGTTGTAACTGGCAACCTCAGTGCAAATTATATCAAGACCTGTCACAAGTCTGTCACTAAAGCTACTTCAAACTTAATGTATGGTACTTCAATATCTGAGAATGACAACATGTGACCTGTAGTCTATCTAAGGCCCAGTTTATGAGAATGACAACCTGTGACCTGCAATCTATCTAAGGTCTAATATATGAGAATGACAATATGTGACATCTAACCTATCTAAGGCCCAATATCTGAAAATTACAACATGTGACCTCTAATCTTTTCAAGGCCAAATATATGAGAATGACAACATGTGACTTTAGTATATCTATGGCCCAATATCTGAAAATTACAGCATGTGACATCTAATCTATTCAAGGCCCAATATTTGAGAATGACAACATGTGACATCTAATCTATCTAAGGCCCAATATTTGAGAATGACAACAAGTGACATCTAATCTATCTAAGGCCCAATATAAGAGAATGACATCTTTTGACCTTAAGTATATATAAGGCCCAATATCTAAGAATGACAACATGTGACTTCTAATCTATCTATGGCCCAGTATAAGAGAATGACATCTTGTGACCTTTAGTATATCTAAGGCCCAATATTTGAGAATGACAACATGTGACATCTAATCTATTTAAGACCCAATATATGAGAATGACAATATGTGACATCTAATCTATCTAAGGCCCAATATCTGAAAATTGCAACATGTGACCTCTAATCTATCTATTGTCTAGTATAAGAGAATGACATCTTGTGAGTCTATCTATGGCCCAATATCTGAAAATGACAACATGTGACATCTAATCTATTCAAGGCCCAATATTTGAGAATGATAACATGTGACATCTAATCTATTCAAGGCCCAATATTTGAGAATGACAACATGTGACATCTAATCTATCTAAGGCCCAATATTTGAGAATGACAACATGTGACATCCAATCTATTTAAGGCCCAATATTTAAGAATGACAACATGTGACATCTAATCTATTTAAGGCCCAGTATCTGAAAATTACAACATGTGACCTCTAATCTATTTATGGCCCAGTATAAGAGAGTGACATCTTGTGACCTTTAGTATATCTAAGGCCCAATATCTGGGAATGACAACATGTGACTTCTAATCTATCTATGGCCCAGTATAAGAGAATGACATCTTGTGACCTTTAGTCTGTCTAAGGCCAAATATTTAAGAATGACATCTTGTGACTTTTAGTCTATCTATGGCCCAATATCTGAAAATTACAACATATGACATCTAATCTATACAAGGCCCAATATATAATGACAACATGTGACCTTAGTAAATCTATGGCCCAATATCTGAAAATTACAACATGTAACATCTAATCTATTCAAGGCCCAATATTCGGGAGTGACAACATGTGACATCTAATGTATCTAAGGCCCAATATTTGAGAATGACAACATGTGACATCTAATCTATCTAAGGCCCAATATTTGAGAATGACAACATGTGACATCTAATCTATTCAAGGCCCAATATTTAAGAATGACAACATGTGACATCTAATCTATTTAAGGCCCAGTATCTGAAAATTACAACATGTGACCTCTAATCTATCTATGGCCCAGTATAAGAGAGTGACATCTTGTGACCTTTAGTATATCTAAGGCCCAATATCTGGGAATGACAACATGTGACTTCTAATCTATCTATGGCCCAGTATAAGAGAATGACATCTTGTGACCTTTAGTCTGTCTAAGGCCAAATATTTAAGAATGACATCTTGTGACTTTTAGTCTATCTATGGCCCAATATCTGAAAATTACAACATATGACATCTAATCTATACAAGGCCCAATATATAATGACAACATGTGACCTTAGTAAATCTATGGCCCAATATCTGAAAATTACAACATGTGACATCTAATCTATTCAAGGCCCAATATTTGAGAATGACAACATGTGACATCTAATGTATCTAAGGCCCAATATTTGAGAATGACAACATGTGACATCTAATCTATCTAAGGCCCAATATTTGAGAATGACAACATGTGACATCTAATCTATTCAAGGCCCAATATTTAAGAATGACAACATGTGACATCTAATCTATTCAAGGCCCAATATTTAAGAATGACAACATGTGACATCTAATCTATCTAAGGCCCAATATTTGAGAATGACAACATGTGACATCTAATCTATTCAAGGCCCAATATTTAAGAATGACAACATGTGACATCTAATCTATTAAATGCCTAATATATAATGACAACATGTGACCTTAGTATATCTATGGCCCAATATCTGAAAATTACAACATGTGACATCTAATCTATTCAAGGCCCAATATTTGAGAATGACAACATGTCACATCTAATGTATCTAAGGCCCAATATTTGAGAATGACAACATGTGACATCTAATCTATCTAAGGCCCAATATTTGAGAATGACAACATGTGACATCCAATTTATTTAAGGCCCAATATTTAAGAATGACAACATGTGACATCTAATCTATTTAAGGCCCAATATCTGAAAATTACTACATGTGACCTCTAATCTATCTATGGCCCAGTATAAGAGAGTGACATCTTGTGACCTTTAGTATATCTAAGGCCCAATATCTGGGAATGACAACATGTGACTTCTAATCTATCTATGGCCCAGTATAAGAGAATGACATCTTGTGACCTTTAGTCTGTCTAAGGCCAAATATTTAAGAATGACATCTTGTGACTTTTAGTCTATCTATGGCCCAATATCTGAAAATTACAACATGTGACATCTAATCTATTCAAGGCCCAATATTTGAGAATGACAACATGTGACATCTAATGTATCTAAGGCCCAATATTTGAGAATGACAACATGTGACATCTAATCTATCTAAGGCCCAATATTTGAGAATGACAACATTTGACATATAATCTATTCAAGGCCCAATATTTAAGAATGACAACATGTGACATATAATCTATTCAAGGCCCAATATTTAAGAATGACAACATGTGACATCTAATCTATCTAAGGCCCAATATTTGAGAATGACAACATGTGACATCTAATCTATTCAAGGCCCAATATTTAAGAATGACAACATGTGACATCTAATCTATTCAGTGCCCAATATATAATGACAACATGTGACCTTAGATGACAACATGTGACATCTAATGTATCTAAGGCCCAATATTTGAGAATGACAACATGTGACATCTAATCTATCTAAGGCCCAATATTTGAGAATGACAACAGGTGACATCTAATCTATTCAAGGCCCAATATTTAAGAATGACAACATGTGACATCTAATCTATTTAAGGCCCAATATCTGAAAATTACATGTGACCTCTAATCTATCTATGGCCCAGTATATAAGAATGACATCTTGTGACCTTCAGTATATCTAAGGCCCAATATCTTAGAATGACAACATGTGTATCTAATCTATCTATGGCCCAGTATAAGGGAATGACATCTTGTGACCATCCAAATATTTAAGAATGAATGTATCTAAGGCCCAATATTTGAGAATGACAACATGTGACATCTAATCTATTCAAGGCCCAATATTTAAGAATAGTCTATCTATGGCCCAATATCTGAAAATTACAACATGTGACATCTAATCTATTCAAGGCCTAATATTTGAGAATGACAACATGTGACATCCAATGTATCTAAGGCCCAATATTTGAGAATGACAACATGTGACATCTAATCTATTCAAGGCCCAATATTTAAGAATGACAACATGTGACATCTAATCTATTCAAGGCCCAATATTTAAGAATGACAACATGTGACATCTAATCTATCTAAGGCCCAATATTTGAGAATGACAACATGTGACATCTAATCTATTCAAGGTCCAATATTTAAGAATGACAACATGTGACATCTAATCTATTCAATGCCCAATATATAATGACAACATGTGACCTTAGTATATCTATGGCCCAATATCTGAAAATTACAACATGTGACATCTAATCTATTCAAGGCCCAATATTTGAGAATGACAACATGTCACATCTAATGTATCTAAGGCCCAATATTTGAGAATGACAACATGTGACATCTAATCTATCTAAGGCCCAATATTTGAGAATGACAACATGTGACATCCAATCTATTTAAGGCCCAATATTTAAGAATGACAACATGTGCCATCTAATCTATTTAAGGCCAAATATCTGAAAATTACAACATGTGACCTCTATTCTTTCTATGGCCCAGTATAAGAGAGTGACATCTTGTGAACTTTAGTATATCTAAGGCCCAATATCTGGGAATGACAACATGTGACTTCTAATCTATCTATGGCCCAGTATAAGAGAATGACATCTTGTGACCTTTAGTCTGTCTAAGGCCAAATATTTAAGAATGACATCTTGTGACTTTTAGTCTATCTATGGCCCAATATCTGAAAATTACAACATGTGACATCTAATCTATTCAAGGCCCAATATTTGAGAATGACAACATGTGACATCTAATGTATCTAAGGCCCAATATTTGAGAATGACAACATTTGACATCTAATCTATTCAAGGCCCAATATTTGAGAATGACAACATTTGACATCTAATCTATTCAAGGCCCAATATTTGAGAATGACAACAGGTGACATCTAATCTATTCAAGGCCCAATATTTAAGAATGACAACATGTGACATCTAATCTATTTAAGGCCCAATATCTGAAAATTACATGTGACCTCTAATCTATCTATGGCCCAGTATATAAGAATGACATCTTGTGACCTTCAGTATATCTTAGGCCCAATATCTTAGAATGACAACATGTGTATCTAATCTATCTATGGCCCAGTATAAGAGAATGACAACTTGTGACCTTAGTCTATCTAAGGCGCAATATCTGAGAATTGGGGCCGCGTTAGTGCAGTCAATAAGAGGCTTTTAAAGCCAGCTGCGACTCGCTGCAGCCCACGGTCGGAGTTCGAAACCGGGCGGTGCCCGGGGTTCACCCAGCCTCTAGGAAATGGGTACCATTGTTGACACTCTTGGGTGAATGGGAGAACGTCGGTGTAGCTACAGAGTTACGTGTGAACGGCGACACAGGCGGACAATTTCTTATCAGCTGTCGATACTGGTGACAGAGCCCTTATGGTTTATAACCGTGTACATCTCACATCTCCCAACTTTACCTTTGTTTTTGTTTTAAATCTGAGAATTACATGTGATCTCTAATCTATCTATGGCCCAGTATATGAGAATGACATGTGACCTTCAGTCTGTCTAAGGCCCAATATATAAACATGACAACCGGTGATCTCTAGTCTATGACCCAGTATACGAAAATAACATTTGTGACCCATAGTCTATTCAAGGAATAATATATGACATTGATTACCTGTGACCTCTAGCCAGTCGAAGGTTTTCAGTTGATAAGAATGATAAACTGTGATCTCTAGTCTATGTATGGCCCAATATATGAAAATGACATTATGTGACATCTAGTCTATTTAAGGCACAGTATCTGACAATGACAACGTGACATATTGTCTATCTATAGCGCGATATAGGAGAATGACAACATGTGACCTCTAGTCTACCTATGGCCCAGTATATAAGAATGACATTTTGTGACCTCTAGTCTACCTATGGCCCAATATATAAGAATGACATCTTGTGACTCAAAGGTATGATTAGGATGCTCATGATGGGTCATGTCATTTCTTCTTATTTCACCATTATTGTTGAAAATGTCAGAGTATATACTACAAAAAATTTTGCCGTTTGACGAGAGTACTCTGGTAAAAAAAACACACACACAAAGAGAACCCTGCTTGAGAAACAAAATGAACAGAGAGCATGTAGATGACCACACAAATGAAGGTCAAGTGGCATTAGGAACAGTCTTAAAGAAATGAAGTTCAAGTCAGAGTCCTATGGGAGACAGCGGTAGCAGCAACGGGAGCAAGTCATATCAACCCATAATCTCACCTTGAACCTGAGATCTTCCACCCAAATAGAGTATCTATATATAACTTTACCTACTTGTCAGGAGTACCAGACGGTTCTAGATTTGATGAGACAGATTATTCTAGCCACAGATTTGGCTCATCATTTGGGAATTGTCAAGGAGCAGGAGCAGCTAGCAGAACGTGAGTATTGTTTGCTGAGAATGCTAACAGAATGTGAGTATTGTTGCTGAGAATGCTAACAGAAGGTGAGTATTGTTTGCTGAGAATGCTAATAGAACGTGAGTATTGTTGCTGAGAATGCTAACAGAGTGTGAGTATTTTGCTGAGACTGCTGACAGAATTTACGTATTACTGCCAAGACTGCTGACAGCACTTGAGTATTGTTTGCTGAGACTGCTGGTAAGTATTAGTGTTGATAAAGCTAACAAAACGTGAGTATTGTCGGCTGAGTAGGGCGAAGGATTGTAACTGTCGTAGCTAAGTCAGAGGCAAGGATAGCAACTGGCATAGCTAAGTCAGGTCAAGAATAGTAACTGCCATAGCTAAGTCAGCTACAAGTTTAAACAGGCGATCAACATCATGACACAGGGGTACTAACAATAAGTGCTCCGTTCTACGTCTAACTCAAACCTGAGCCCAAAGAATCTCAGCGCAGTGCGCGAACCCGTAACACCGGCGAGGATCCTAAAATACTTTGGGTAGATTCATAGCTCTAACTTTGGCACAGGCAGCGCCGATCGGCAACTCTTTTCGATTTCCAACTGCCAATGGATTTTTTTTAGAAGGGCCGAATGTCAGACCGGGTCTGCGTGCCCAATTTGTAACCCTTTGAAAAATAAGTTTGTTTGTTCGTTCGTTCGTACATTCTGATCTTACAAGCACACATCTATCAAACCACAGTTCCATGTTATCAGTAATGCATGATATGGGGTATATACATTTATATAATGAGATATTGCATACATGCATCATTTCCACACAATTATAATCACTCAAAAATACATACATACACATGCACACATACTCTTACATGCCCTTACATACACACACACTCATACGTACGCCCTCATACAAATACATTCATGCACTCATGCTCATACAGAAACATACATACCCCTACACTCGTGCGTACACCTAAATAAACTCATACATACACAAGCACACATCCATACACGTGCATGTATCCACACACACCCACTCTCATGATCCATGCAGAAACATTTACACAAACACTCATATGTCTACAAACATAACACCAGCGCACCTACATACATTCATGCATACAAACTCATTTTTACATGTACACAAAATGATGCCCACATCTGATTACATATGCCTACATCTGATTACATATGCATACATACACTCAAATTAATACAACCACAAACACCAATACATACACACGCTTATATATATTCCTCCACACACAAACTCCTATACATACACAATCGGGTCATCATATACAATAACCCATACACACACAAACACCCAATACATATACAACCCTATAAATACACAAAAACCCAATCATACACTATCACCCATACATAATCAATAATACTGTAATCCGCTCGTGGGCTTTCACGGCTCCGTTTGGAGGGAGAGTTGTGAAGGAAGTTTCTGGAGCTTTTGCAGTAACTACAAGTAGTCTGACTATGGAGGTCATGGCTGTGATTAAAGCAGTAACATGGCTAGAGACACACGCTTTCTCAGTGACTCTTATGCCCAGGAAGATAGAGAAGGGCTGGGTCCGAAGGCAGTGGCTGGTGGCTCTACAGAATTTACGGCTGACAAGGATTAGTTTCTTTTTCGTGCCAGGATATGTGGGGGTACAAGAAAATGAGCTAGCTGATAGGCTTGCAGGTACGGCTACGGTGAAAGCCAGACAAGCCATAAACCAGGCTGATATAATGAATGCTCTTAGATAGTTAAGACGTTTGCGTGAACCACCTGAGAACTGTGAATATGCAACCATGGTCAGACTGCAAGAACAACATTTTAAACTGGGTGTCGCAAAAACAAAACAAAAACACACACACACTACGCGGGTATCCAAAGAAGAAGAAAAAAACCAACACAGAACAGCTAACCGCTGTGGGATTTACTGAGGAGGGGATCCGAGCACTTGTGGACTGGGTGGTTCGACTTGCAATGAGGATAATTTGCCAACTAACTAACTAACTAACCAGCTAAGCCATACTCAAACACCCATATATCTGCAAACAGTTTCACATACTCATATTTCACTGATACTCTTTAATTAATCATAAATGAAGAAGCTCTGCAAATAGGCGACATGTTATACCCAGGTGTAATGGAAGGTCATTAACATATCTGGCAGGAAACAACGGTCCTAGTATTAAGCCTAGAAATAGGCTGATATTTAGCTGTGTGGGTTTTGAAAGACGGTTTTTGAAGGAAACTACTTGCCGTTGATCTGACCAAAATGACTATTAAATATACTAAAGTTTTGTTGGCTTTTAAAATAATTAATTTGCTAATTAAAATATACTGTATCAACCAATTCAAAGGCTTTCTGAAAATCTGGAAAGACAACTCCATAAATTGTGCCCCTATTGATGTTAACATGCCTATTGTTTGCTATTGTTGTCAAAGCTGTATAAGCCGAGTATTTAGGCCTGAACCCTCGTTGACAATAGATTAAATGTAGTGATTTATACAGAATATGAACCTATACGAAAGATGATAATATGCTAATGTTGATATCAACAGGAGGACACTTTGAGAAAACCAGCTCCAGGGACAAAACTTTACTGCTATGTCTGCTGATGACAGCCTGTGATTTGTCTGACCAAACCAAGAATTGGCACAACACAAAACACAGCGCTGTAAGTGTTTTTTTTTTTTTCTGTCGGACAAACATTTGTCAGTTTTTGTTAGATCAGTCGAATATCTATGTCTTGTTATCTGTCAGTCAAAAGTCTATGTCTTGTCTTCTTTCAATCAGAAGTGTATACTTTTTTTTTTTTTTGTCTTAAGTTAGTGAGATATGTATAAGTTCTGTCTTCTGTCAGTTAGATGTCTTATGGAAATGTGTATAGGTTATCTTTTTCAGTCAGATATCTGTAAGTTCTGTCTTCAACCAGTCATATGTATATAAGTTCTGTCTTCTGTCAGTCAACTGTGTATAAATTTTGTTTTCTGTCCGACCGATTTGTATAGGTTTTGTCTTCTGTCAGTCAGACGTGTATAATGTCTGTCTTCAGTCCGTCATATGTGTGAAAGTTATCTTCTGTCATTCATATGTCTATAAATTTTTTCTATCAGTCATACGTGATTAAGTTCCGTCTTCTATTAGGTGTGTATAAGTTTTGTCTTCTATCAGTCATTTGTGAATAAGTTCTGTTTTCTGTCAGTCAGACGTGTATAAGCTATGTCTTTCCGTCAGGCAGATTTGTTTAGGTTTTGTCTTCTGTCAATCAGATATAATTAAGTTTTGTTTTCTGTCTGTCAAGTGTCTTCTGGGCAGGTGTATAAGTTATCTTCTATCAGCCAAATGTCTATAGATTTTGTCTTCTTTCAGTCTAATGGGATCAGGTCTTCTCTCAGTCAGATGTATATAAGCTCTGTCTTCTGTCAGTCAAATGTGTATAAGTTATGTCTTCTATCAGTCATATGTGTATAGGTTCTATCTTCTGTCAGTCATATGTAAATAGGGTCTGTCTTCAATCAGTCATATGTAAATAAGCTATGTCTTCAGTCAGTCAGATGTATATAAATTATATCTTCTGTATGTCAAATGTGTATAAGTTTGACTTTTTGTCAGTCAGATGTGTAAAATTTCGGTCTTCGGTCAGTACTTGTGTATAAGTTCTGTCAGTCAGATGTATATAAGTCATATCTTCTCAGTCAAATGTGTATAAGTTTTTTTTTCTGTCAGTCATATTTGCATAGGTTTTGTTTTCTGTCAGTCAGATGTGTATAAGTTCTGCCTTCAGTCAGTCAGAGGTCTATAGGTTTTGTCTTCTGTCAGTCAGATGTGTATAAGTTATGTTTTCTGTCAGTCAGATGTGTTTGCCTTGTCCTCTGTCAGTTAGATGTGAATAGGTTCTGTCTTCTGTCAGTCATTTGTGTCTGTTCTGTCTTTAATCAGTCATATCAGTCAGTATTGTGAGTATAAGTTCTGTCTTCAGTCAGATGTATTTGTCTCGTCTTCTGTCAGTCAGATGTCTAGAAGTTCTGCCTTCAGTCACTTAGAGGTCTATAGGTTTTGGCAGTCAGAGGTGTTTAAATTGTCTCTTCTGTCAGTCAAATGTGTGTTGTTTGTCTTCTGTCAGTCAGATGTGTTTGAGCGTTGTTTTCTGTTAGTCCTATATGTTCGTTTCGTCTGTTGTCAGTCAGATGTGTGCAAAATGTGACCTCTGTCAGTCAGATGTCAATAAGTTGTGTCTTCCTTCAGTCAGACATGTGTAGGCATTGCATAAGACGAGTGTAATTGTTATTAGGGCTGTACCGAATATTCGCTTCGGGGCCGAATAGTGGACCTATTGACTGACTATTTGGTATTCGGCCGAATAGTTGCGGTTTGGCTGAATACGAATTGTAGTATTACCTTACACCCGCTTCGTCATACAAGACCTTAATACTGACAACATGGAACGATTGGTTTTTAGCTGAAAACTAATGCAGCTTTCATGCATTAACTAAGCTGACAGTGACAATTTCCAAGTTTAGTTACATGTTGTAATACTTAGGTTCTTTCATTCCTAGTTATTAGTTACCACAGACTGACTGAAGGATGAAAAACATGAAATGTTTTTAAATGTTTACCATTCTGTACGAATACTAACTAAATAGGGAAAGAATATAAACTCCGGCCACATCCAAGTCGAAAATATGAAAATCAAACGGATGGAAACATATAAATACATGGGCGCAAACTTCAACTGCTCCAACATGCCGAGAGAAGAAATGCAATCTAGAATACAATCTAGAAAAAAAATATACTATGCCCTTCAACATTTTGCTAAAGTCAAAGTATCAGTCTTTCAACACCAAGATCAAAATATATAAAACGTTGATAAGACCAGTCGTTTTATATGACTCTGAAACGTGGAGCAGAAATAAAAAAGATGAAGCATTATTACAGGTTTTTGGAAACAGTCTTACGACAAATCTTTGGACCTATCAAAGATGCTAACAGCGGGAAATCGGGAGTGAGAAGCAACAACGTAACACATAATCTGTTTAAATAATCATTGATCACTAGCATCATGAGGGCTAACAGACTCAAATGGTTAGGGCATATTAAAAGAATGTCAGATGACAGAGAAGTAAAAACTGTATACACCTGAGAAAGGAATGAGCGTAGACCACGAGGCAGACAAAAAAAGAAGTTCGAGAGATAATGTCCAGCCAGACCTGCAAACAACTGGTGTCACAAATTGTGAAGAAAAGGCCAGCCAGAGAGATGAATAGAGACGAGTGGTATCTGCAGCAGTAAACCTCAAGAGCCCAAAATGCTAAAGAAGAAGATGACTATTCTGTGCTACTTTATGTGAAGTAAAAGTTCAGCGTACATTTGACATCGTGAATGTTTTTTTTTTAAAGATATATTTTATACACTATACACTATTCGTATTCGTATTCGGCCGAATAATTGGTCCCGTTATTCGTATTCGACCGAATAGTAAAAATCACTATTCGGTACAGCCCTAATTGTTATATTAAACATTCTGAGGTATGCGTTCAGCGAGATACATATCCCACCTTCCAAGTATCTAGGGGAGATACATAGCCCACCTTCCAAGTATCAAGGGGAGATACATAGCCCACCTGCCAAGTATCTAGGGGAGATACATAGCCCACCTGCCAAGTATCTAGGGAGATACATAGCCCACCTGACAAGTATCTACGGGAGATACATAGCCCACCTGCCAAGTATCTAGGGGAGATACATAACCCACCTGCCAAGTATCTAGGGAAGATATATAGCCCACCTGCCAAGTATCTAGGGGAGATACATAGCCCACCTGCCAAGTATCTAGTGGAGATACAAAGCCCACCAGCCAAGTATTTAGGGGAGATACATTGCCCACCTGCCAATTATCTAGGGGAGATACATAGCCCACCTGCCAAGTATCTAGGGGAGATACATAGCCCACCTGCCAAGTATCTAGGGGAGATACATAGCCCACCTGCCAAGTATCTAGGAGATATGTCGATAAATATCGGTCCTCCACAGATACGCACAGGATTCCCTTAGACGATGAACCATGGCTGTCCGATCTTATTGATATGACACATACTGATAGTGATTATTACTAGAGTAAAGGAACGTTAACCGAACAGGAACAAAACAATAAGACACAAGATGCATTAGGGAGCATGTTTCTTGTATGGGTTAATTGATGGTTTTCATGTTTCTGAGTATGTATTTCTGTCTTGTACAAATTCAGCTAGTAATATTTCAGTCTGATGGTTTCATATGTCTTGTCTTTACCTATGTGACCCTCCTATTCATCAATTTGCTTCAGCACATCTAGTTCTCATCTTTTTTTTTAGACGTAATATAACTGTCTATAATTTGGACAAATCATGAAATCTTGTTTGACTTCATGTTCTTCTCATTTGTTAGCACTTGTGTTATTTGTTAAACGTCTTCATCTTTTATTTCTTGTTCTGCTTTCATTTTGAATTCTGAAGATTCTTGCTGGTGTAGCACAGCTCTCTTCTTTGTGGCGTACGTTGATGTCACACCCAGGTTCGTCTTTAGGTTTGCTACCGGAGGTGTCGATTGGAAGGTTAAAGACGAGGAGAAAGATGGTCGTTCGATAGTGGTGGTGATTATGATGATGATGTCTTGCTAGCTGCATGCCTTTCACGTGACTCTGGTGTTTGTACAATAAAATGGCTGGAAACAACAGTTCTCGTCTATGCTGTCTTTATTGTGATACTTCAACAATGTCACAAATATATCAATGATATTCTGAATAGCGCTGTGTTCTCTCTATGGCTAAATACTCTTAGGTTCGCTTTGTGTTCTTCATCTTTAGTTACTTTGTTAACTGGTTCTAGTGTCTGTTACTGCCACCTGGCTTCTAGTGCTGTTTGGTATTAACAGCTTGATCGCCGACTCTAACATCTCTATAGTGTTCATAATGTGTCTCTGTTAACCATGGATCCATGAATCTTGTGTATCGTCTCTGTGGCTCGATGTCTTGTTTAATGTCTGCTCTCTGGTGACTGTCTTCGAGGTTCCATATGAACGGCTGCTCTCCTTTCAGTGTTGAGCTGGCATCGAGAATCATTGAGACTAGTCGCTCGTCCTCTGAGTCTCAACGACTGAAGGCTTCTAGTGTTGGGCTACCATCTCTACCACTGAAAGCTGTCTTGAGAGTCCATGTGACTGGCCTCTCCTCTCTTGAGTCTTGTGGACTGAAAAATTGCTAAAGTGCTTTGTTACTCGCTATTTATACTTGGATGCTGGAATGCTAGGTATTTGTTTTCTTATTGCTTTGTCTGCTTCTAGAATATTCTAGTACCCCTCAACTTGTTTACTAGGTACGTTTTCGCGTGGGATTTTCTAAAAATATCTAAAGTGCATCGGATTTCATCATCCTATTCTTCGCAGATATAGTAGTTAAACTAACAATTGAGGTCATAGAAGCTTCTAAAAAAACAAGGACAATTGTGTCTGCTTTGATAGGGCACGACAACAAGGTATTTACTAGTGAGACAAGGTTGGGTCACATTTCGCATTTCAAAACTTCTAGAAAGAAGGCCAAGACCAGACAACCTCAGTTTGATGTCAATAGCTTGTTTTGGCGGGAAAAGAAGACTCTGGATAGGGGAATGTCAAGGCTGCCAAAACTCGTTGATTTTCAGT